TGACAGTCAGGCGATTCAAAGTGATATCTGAGTTTGCATCAAACTGTTGCTGACTTGCCAAAATCTGTATTTATCAGGTTTCAGTTACTCTGGGGAGAGTGAGGCTATTGCATGTACTACCACAGTAGGGGGGCAACTTTTTTGGCAGGCATGTCACAATTAGCTCCATGCCCTCCCTTTTGATCCTCCTTTTTCTGCCTGATCAGCTGCCATGCTTTCTGTTTCCTGCCCTGTGCTCCCTGCCCAATCTGCTGCTCTGTTTTCTGCTCCCAATGCTATCTGCCACGGCTGCTTGCTCCCTCCCTGGTCTGCTGCTTGGCATACACAGAGGCTACCTGTGCCACAGGGTATATGCACATGCCCAAATCTGTTGGCCAGTCCTGTACTACCTCAGCAGAGTGGACACATGTAGCAACAGGCATACAGCAAGTGGTGGTAGCTGCTTGTAAGGCAGGTACACACTGGTTAATCCTCTGCAGTACTTAAAAAAAAAAAAAAAGGTGGTTAGATTAACATTAACAGATCAGTGTTGCATGTAGGCATCCAGTTCATCCTACAGAGAAATAACCTGAAACTTCCAGGAAAAAGAATGTCAGAGTAAAACCTCTGCAAGATGAAATGCTGTGTACTGTTTACAGTATATTAATCTGGTGGCATATTGAATTAAACAAACGTTAATTGTTTATAATTTAGTTAAAAACTCTGTTGGACAGAGTGGTTTTGGCGTTGTAATTTTACTTTTCTTTCTGACCTTTGACACGTTGTACATTTTCACATTCAAACTTACTGCTACCCGCTGTAAGGATTTTTTTTTTTTACAGTACACAGGAGAACAGTAGCATAGAGAGATACCATTTGAAAAGTTACTGCTACATGGATAAATAGTAAAATCTGATTGAAACTTGAACTGAATTAGGGCTAGTCAATATAGTTTTGTTTTTTTTTTTTTAATGTATATCTGCTAGGACTTTTCACAAACACATTTTTTAAAACTTCAGTGCAGGAGTTGATCTACTGTAGGCAATATTCCCATGGGAAACTGCTGTATATGTACATACTGGCAGGCTGAGTGTCACTGCTACTGCTGTTTCAGAAGTACACCACTGTGTAGCTGATTTCACAGGTTTCTTTTGCCTTCTGACATGGCCTATGGTAATATACAAAATAATCCATCATTATCCTACTCTGCCTGGATTTGCTTATGCAGGTTATAATTAGTGTTGTTTGTTTTGTGATGTTACTTAGAGCAGGACATGTCCAGTCCTGTAATCAAGCAATTGCCCTTATTTTTCTAAGTAGTGCAAATCTACATTTTATGATGTAATTTCTAAAGAAAATTATAGGGTATGAAGAAATTTAAGCTAGTTTTGCAACTGGTGTTTTCCATCTAGGCTGCTTAGAAATACCAGTAAGTGGCAGCTTAAAATACAATTGGCTGTGTTTCTGATTGTCAAATTTATCCATTTTTTGTAGCTAACAGTCCTATGAAAGAAATACATTTGTTAATGACTTCAGGACAAGGCTATATATAGCTTTTTTTTTTTTTTTAATTTACAGGGATGTGTGTGAATCACTTAGCCTGCTGACTTTGTCTCAGGAGGCTCTGCTCCATGAGGACCTCCTCAGCCAGTCCTCCAAAGCAAAGTTCAGTCTTTATACAAACAAACCCATCTTAAACCCTTATAATATATATATCTATACCTATAAGTCAATCCCCCCCTCCCCCCCAAGAAAAACAGACCTTTAAATATCATTTCTAAGCCAACACCCTCCTCCTTTCTCATTCCAGTGCTCAATTCTATTTACAGGGATGTGTGTGAATCACTTAGCCTGCTGACTTTGTCTCAGGAGGCTCTGCTCCATGAGGACCTCCTCAGCCAGTCCTCCAAAGCAAAGTTCAGTCTTTATACAAACAAACCCATCTTAAACCCTTATAATATATATATCTATACCTATAAGTCAATCCCCCCCTCCCCCCCAAGAAAAACAGACCTTTAAATATCATTTCTAAGCCAACACCCTCCTCCTTTCTCATTCCAGTGCTCAATTCTGTTGAATAATGTGCATGATTACTGGACAGAAATGGCATACAGAGTCAGGCAGGCATCCAAAACGTAGAGGTCAGAATACTTCTTGGGCGAAGGGGTGACATTGTTGCATTAATGAACTGAAGCTCCATAGCACAGAGAGGAGCAGGTTACAGAACTGAGCTCCATCTCCAAACTGTTAGCCGAGTACAATGCATGGAACAGGAACCCAATAGTATCTGAGAGAGAGTACATCATCCCAGCAAGACTTAAGCACAGTGACCCAGGTAGACTGCAATATGTGAGAGGGATGCTGTACCATAGGGGAAAGAGGTCCCATCTATCAATGGATACACACAGTCTAAGACACTGGGGTCACATACTATACTGTTCCATAACATGAGATTGTCATCGGCAGTTTCTCGGAGCCGGGCTTGATGGGTCCTCAGGTGACTGAGGAGCCTGATTCTGGATATATACATTCTTTGGCAATGGGGGCATGTTGTTGGTGGGGAAGTGGGATTTGCAGCCCTGGGTTGGCCTCCTTCTGCTTCCTCCATCGCCGCCGTTCCGCCTTGGTATCGAGTTGTTGGGCCTCAAAGTGGTGCACGCCTTGGTGGACCAGGTGGCGCCACACCATATGGTCAGCAGCTTGCTCCTCCCAGCCGTTGGTGTCAATGCTTCTGTCCTTGAGGGAGACCTTGAGTGTATCTTTGTACCATTTCCTTTGACTGCCCTTTGAGCATTGGCCAATGGAGAGCTGGGAAAAGAGAATCTGGTGAGGGAGGCAATTTTTGGACATCCAGTCACAGTGGCCTGTCCATCAGAGTTGATTTCTCAAGAGCAAGGTTTCAATTCTGGTGGATGCAGCTTCATGGAGGATGCTCGCACTGGTCCAGCAGTCCTCCCATTTGATCCCCAGGATTTGACACACGCACCACTGGTGAAAGCTCTTGAGAGTCTTGACGTGGAGTTGGTAGATGGTCCAGGTTTCACTGCAGTAGAAGTGTGGCCAGCACAACAGCTTTGTAAATCAGGACCTTTGTTGATTTCTGAAGGTCTCTATTTTCAAAGACACATTGTCACAGTTTGAAGAAGGCGGCACTAGCACATCTGACCTGGTGCTGGAGGAGGCTGAGGGGGGACCTGGTGGCTGCCTACAAACTCACATGGGGAGATCAACAGCAAATAGGCGGAGCCCTTTTCTCCCCAGCACCACCTGGGGTGACAAGGAACAATGGTAATAAGCTGATGGAGAATAGGTTTAGGTTAGAGATCAGAAGGCAATGTTTTACAGTTAGGGTGGCCAAAATCTGGAACCAACTTCCCAGGGAAGTGGTCTTTGCCCCTCCCTTGGGCAAATTCAAGAGGAAGTTGGATGATCACCTGTCTGGGGTCTTGTGAACCCAGCATTCATTCCTGCCTGTGGCAGGGGGTCAGGGATCTGTTCAGGTCCCTCCTGACCCTAGCTACTATGAAACAAACCAAATACCTCTGTCCTCTTCCCCACCTCCCCCTACTTTGAGGGAGTATTTGAGGGAGTCTGGTTGGTAGACAGTTTAAAGGAATAATTCAAAGTTTTTACAGGTAAATGGAAACTTGAACTATTTTCTTTGCAAGTTTAACATATCCTCTTGTAGTGTTCCACCTTTTTTTCCCCAGAGCCTGTAAATTTCCTCTCCTAGTCTCTTCTAGAGATCCAATAGACATTTTTAGTATCTAGTAGGCCCTTTTGCTTTGAAAATAAGTAGTGTTGTATAAATCACAAATACATCTGTAAATCACCAGCTGATTTGTCTGGTAAGAGTCTCGGTGAAAATCTATTTTGAATTAAAAGATCAGGCCCAGCAATGCTAAGGGAAGATGCATTTGTCCCTCGGGAAGCTTATCCATTTTTGATTAAGAACAGCTCTGCTACATGGGGGAGGTGGGTGCTAGAGTTGAACGCCTACTTTAAGTTTACCAAAAGATGGTCAGAAAGCTGTTGGTTGAAACATGCTCTGAGGAAATATTGGCATTAGGCGCATAATTCATATAAGTTAGTATCTATGTTCATTTCAGTTTTGTTTTGTTTTTTTAGTGCTCAATGTTGCTTTATGTAGCGGAGTTAAAAATTGTCCCTAATGAACATACTTACAGATTTCCTGAAATTTAGAAATAATGTCAGACTGTTTGTTTACTTTTACATTTACTGTTAAAAGATATCTTACAGTTTATATAATAGGTACATCATTCTAAGCTTTTTGTGTCTTCAAAATGAATGAATTGGCAGTTGGAGGCACTGCCAAATTTTCAGCAACTGAATCTGAAGCATCTGTACAAGAGATGTACAGCAGCTTATTAGAGATGTAACCAAATTTAAAAAAACTCACTGATCTTAATGTGAAGCTTACTGTAGCCAAAAACAATATCCAACATGTCTATAAAAGACTAATATACTATGCAGTTGGGTCAATAAAATATATTACCTAAAAAAATCCCCACATCTGTTAGGTAGGTATTTAGCACATTTTGCCCTTTTTCTTGGTATAGTTGCATATATGTTTTTAACACATTAAATTAATGGGGAGATGATGGTGTGTATAAAAAAAAATCTGACTAGAACTATCAAACTGAGAGGAAAGATGCATGGGTTTTTTAACAGCTGCGTGAGACAGCTGATAATACTCTTAACTTCATTTAGATTATAAAACAACAGTCCCTTTTTAATGTAAATAAAATCCCAAACTTCTATGATCAAGAGTTTTACTTTCAATCCATGGCATTTCTAAACAAGCCATTTGTTTCTGTAATTTATGAATGAAGATGAGAAATGTAATTGTTTAGGCTAAAATAAATAGCTGTAAAGCAGACTATATTTACTGATAGCAAACTGCTTTAAATTTGAAACTGAATTTCCCATGTCAACTTGAAAAATTCTTGCACTTGGTATTATTTTCTGCATATGACTTAAATTTTGCATTTTTTCCATAGAAAACTATTGGAGTATTCAAACCAAAATCTGAAGAGCCTTATGGTCATTTGAATCCAAAATGGACCAAATACTTTCACAAGATTTGTTGTCCTTGCTGCTTTGGCAGAGGCTGTCTTGTTCCTAATCAGGGATACCTTTCAGAAGCTGGTGCCTCTCTTGTGGATAACAAGTTGGGACTAGGAGTTGTACCAAAAACTAAGGTAAAATTTATACTACCTAGCATGCTAGCACTTAGAGGACGTGTCTACATATGCTGCTACATCACCATAGCAATGTGCTACAGCAGTGTAGCATCTGTGGGCAAAAACCATGATGCTGCAGCTACGTCACCATAGTGAGTGATGTGCTCCCTCAGTATAGTGTGTCACTGTGGTGATGTAGTGGCTAAAAATAACCGTGCACATGGCACAGTAACAACAGTGCCATAGGGACATGTGTAGATGTACCCAGAGATGCAAAATACATGCAGTCTGGAATTAAACTGATTGTATTTGTTCTATCCCAAATGGGGAAAAAATGAATCGGTATTGGGATAAGAATAGTGAGTGTGAATTATTTGAGCCATTGTAACAGGGTTAAATAATAACAACTTGGGAGAGGGAGGATGCTGGGGGCACAGTGGCACTAACTCATGTTCCCCTCCGGAAACTCTCTCTGCATTCCTTTGCTTTCAGCAAACAACTGCAATCTAGTGCACATCTCACCCCCTCTAGTCGTACTTAAGAGATGGTGACCTACTATTGGTAAAAGTACTCCAGAGTTTCAGTGGTGATATTGGTATAAAGGTCCATGTACTTCTTATGTCTCAGTATGAGTGATCAGTATGATTTCTGAGAGATTTCACCTATCTGAATTGCCTTTTTCAGCTGCAGATAAGTGGTACTAAAAAAACTGTTAAAAGCATTAAGATTATGAAATCAAGCACTGACAAGTTAGGAAATGTCGTAACTGACGTTGTCCATGAACCATTACTTAATACATGCCATACAGACCCTGCATTGATTACAAAATTAATATTTACTTCATCCATTTTTCAAAGGTCCTCACAGCAGTGTTAGTACTTGAAAACACTAGCATTCATTGTTGGTGAAGTCTCATGTGGGGCACTCACCTGAAGTCTCACCTGGGTCCAATTCTGGCCACCACATTTAAAAAATACATAGATAAGAATAGAACAATAAAAATAAGACATCTAGAAAATCGGAAAGGATAAAAGAATTTAAATGTTCTCCTTTGTGGCAATTCAGCATTCCTACCCTATGAATTTTAATCAGTGCCTACAAAATGAAAAGCACACAAGTAGTGGCTGATGCTTAACAGCTTGGTTTAGGACTGTGTGCAGATGCTCATTTCTTCTAACAGAAAAATAGCCCAGGAGTTGGGCTGAATTTAACAGATTTTTCTTTTATCTACATGGTAGAGAAACACTTTACTCTGTATTTGCTGTTAAGAATAGTCACTGTACAACAGTTAGTAAACTGACTGTTTTACGTGGTTCCTTTGTATGAAGTGTATATATATTTTAAAATGCCATGTGTAAATGAAATAGCAAACTAAAGTGTACATTGAAGGTATTATTGTATAAATAATCTGACCCCCTTGCTGGAGAGCTTCACAGACAAGCTCTCCAGGCAGGAGGCATTAGAAAGCTGCTTTGTAAGCCAGCTCTGCTCATATGATAGTCCATTAATTGACAGCCAGTTCTTTCCTCTGCCTGGAAAGGGGGCATGGCAGGCTGTCAACTGGAATTTGGCAGCTGCTGAAATACACCAGATGCTGCAGATACCCCTGGGAGGATTCCAGCCCCGTGAGACTGCCTCCAAGCAGCTGATTAGCAGGAGAGTGGCATTCTCCCACGGTGGCAATGCTCCCTGTTGTCCCTGGCAGGAAAATAGTCTTGTTCTCTGTACTCTGGGAGCCAAGCAGAGGGAGTGGCTTGGCGCAAAGCCCCTGCCTGCTTCTCACATTGGCAACTCCTGTGTGAGAGAGCTGGGGCAGCTCTTCCCCTCCCCTCCAGCAGATGGGAGATGGGGAGCAGCTGCTCACCACACCTCCAGATTGTGGTGACCTCATCTCAGGCAGTCATGGGAGCATTTCCTCTGGCTCCATTCCTCCTGGTCTTCAGAAGTTAAGGCAGGGGAAAGTGTGCAGACATTACTTCCCTGAAGAAACTCTCCCAGAAGCTATTTTAACCCTAGTTGTTCCTGGGTTTTTCTCTGAGCTGCCATTTTTTGCTCTTGAACACTTTTTTGTTTTCTACTGGGAGAGTGGCAGTTCTCCTGGTAGAAACTGAACTTATGTATGTTGTCTAAGTGATGACTTTGGAATCGTATAGGATTTCTGAAGCAGAGATAGTGATAATATCCAATTATCCAGTGCAGCATTCAGCTTCTTTAGGCATAGTGTCATGTTTTTAGTGCAGTCCTGTCATTCACTGCAGTATGTCAGACTACTGGAGGTAAGAGTTCTGCAGCCAAACATTCTCATTCATGGCTTGATTAGTTCCTAGTTTGTTCCACAACCTATGCAGTAAATGAGACTCGGGGATCTATGGGAAGGAATAGTATTTATCATGAAATTGAAGACTAATGAGCCAAAAGGACAATCAGGGCTGCTTTAGTAGTCTTAATTCTGGCATTGTCTAACTTCCAGATGTCTGACTTTGTCAACCCAACATAGATTCTTGTATGTAATAGTAATACAAAATTATTGCACACTGGCAAGCAGGGATCCATGTAAGAATAATTAATTTAGAACATTCTGTCCAGTGTGCATTTACATGTTTGGCCACAATATTGTATGTGTATTCACCCCATTCAGTGTGTGGGTTCAGGAAGCATTCTGTTGTCTTGACTTATCTATAGCAATTGGTAATGTACTTTATTATACATCTATAATTAAAATCAAAATAAAAGGCAGTCCCAAGCTTTTAACTTTGTATTTTAAGGTCGTCTGGCTTGTCAGTGAGACTTTTAACTACAATGCAATAGATCGTGCAAAATCAAGAGGCAAAAAATATGCTTTAGAAAAAGTGCCAAAAGTTGCTAAAAAATTTCATCGGATTGGATTACCTCCTAAGGTAAGCTCTTCTAAGATGATTTGTCAGAGTTTGTTGATTTTTACTGCCTGTGTCTGTGCACACTGGATCAAAGCCAGGGCATTTGTAAGTAACTTCACTGCCTCAAGATCTGTTCAATCAGAAGACCAACAGCAAGTGAAAGGGGTAACTGTATACAAACTTTGGTTCAAGTGGCAAAATTTATCCCATTTGTTGATAATTTTTTTTTAATAGCTATATTACATCATTGTACATCTATATTTTTCTGTTAAGGAAGAACACTTCCTTTTAAGGGAGAAATGTATCGTCTCTTTTTACATTTGTTCTTTGCTTATGCCCTTTTCCTTCCTATAAGTTACCTTTCTCTGCCTTGTCTGTCTTCTCTCAATATCTTTTTTTATACTGTGCTGTTCTTCCTCTGCCTCTCTTTCTTGTTGTACCCTCTTATATCTGCCCCAAGCTTTTCAATCTTTCTTTCAATCATTATTTTCTTTATTTTGATTCCTTATTTTATGTCCCGCCATGTGTTCCTTCTTTTACTGTCTCCTGCCTTTCTAAGCAAAATCCCATAAGAACAACATTCTTTTCTTGCATTCACCAAATCTTCCTGCAGTGTTCTTTTGTAAGTCAAGCAAAAGCACAGACTTATGACTCAGCTGCAACATGCAGGTGCCCAAGAACTTCTGTCCATAGGATAAATGTTTTGCAGGCTCCCCCTGGAAGAATCATATGAACCCACATATGGGTTTGTAAGTGCAGCCTTTTCTCAAACAAAGTAAAGTCTTTCATCCTTTCAAACTTTCTCTGTGCTTCTCCCCCACATATAGAGCCCTCCCAGGTGTGGGTTTTTTTTGTTTTTTGTTTTCTTCTCCAGACTCAGTGGGCTCCTATACATGTGCAGGGAGGCTGTTCTGGTGTACTGTAACTACAGCGTGTCGGAGCAGACTCAATTAATTGAATCTGCTGGAGCGTGGTAATTACTCTGAACTTTCTAGAAAAAAAACCTAGTTTTTATAGCTGTCTGCAGGAAGCAATGTGTTTAATTCTTGAGTTCAGAACTTATAAAGATCTCATCAGCTTTTTCAGTTCACTTTTAAACTTAATCTACTTGAGAATATTCTCTAAATCAGGTTTTTGAAATTTCAGGTTGGCTCCTTCCAACTGTTTGTTGAGGGATATAAGGAAGCTGAGTACTGGCTCAGGAAATTTGAAACTGATCCTTTACCTGAGAATACTAGGAAACAATTTCAGTCACAGTTTGAGAGATTGGTTACCTTGGATTATGTCATCAGAAATACAGGTACTTATCAGACTATCACTTACTTTATATCTATTTGCTTGAGACAGAAATAATAAGTAGAGCTGATTGAATGTAACCTTCTTCTAAATGTTTTGTTTGCTTTTCCAAAGACTGCAGGCTAGAATTTTTTTATGTGAGCATGTGAAGTATTTTAGCTTCAGCAGTCTTTAAAACTTATTAAGCATCACAGTAGCTACATAAGCAATTTATTTTTTTGTTTCATTTTTTCCTTTTTGGAAAAACTATTGAGAGGTAAGAGCAATATGTATTAAGTCAAACATAAGTTAAGAGATGAAGTGTGGGTTTTTGTTTTAATGAGTGCTGTTGTCTTGCTTCACTTCTGAAGTCATTAAGGGAAATCTGATGTCTGGCAGAACCCGTGCCTTCACGTTCTACTTCTCATATTCTAAGGTCCGAAGGATACTGGATTTTTGAAAGAGAAGCCATTGTTGTCAGATACTTCTATTGAGTGGAAGTATAAAGCAGCCTAAGTGTACTTTTTGCTAAAGAACTGGTGTTCAGTATTGTCAGGCACTGAAAGAGAGCTGGGAAATATGGCCTCCCATGACTCCTACTGTGCTTCTGTGTAGCCCTGTACTTGAATATGTAGGAGGGTCAGTTTCCTTATTGAGTACAAAAGTCTATCAACGTAGATGTCCCCTCCTTTACTGTTGGTCTTTTTCATACCCTCTTTCTGTAGTTTCCTTTTTCCTTTCCTGTCTTCAGTGTCTATACAGATGAAGCACACTCAAAAGGGGAGAAGCAGACTGAGGGTAGAATGTTTTAGGATAAGACTCTAGTGCTTGTGAGCCTCTACTATAGTCTGCTAACCTAGTCAGTAGCTAAACTCTCTAGTACCTCCAAACCTTACTGTTTATGGACTCATTAGAGGACTATGTTTAAAGTATGTTTGTTTTTTTTTTTTTAAAAAAAAAAAAAGCATCCACTTAATTATTGTAGAACAACAAAAAGATTCAGTGTCTGGATACTCCTCCAAGTCTCTAGAAGACCACTTTTGCCCAACAACAGCCTTTTGTAGCAACACAGTTCCTTTTCTACCCAGCAGACCCTATGAAAGAAGAAGCAACAGTTTTTTCAGAATTGAAGATGACTTCCTTATTTACCTATTTCACAGATATTTTGCACGAGTCATTTTCCCCTTTTTGGGTGGTTAGCCGAAGTTTTCAAATGGGATTCATTTTTAAATATCTATGGTTGATCCTGCCACCGGTACAACAGTTTTCCACTGACAGAGAACCCATACATGCAGTTGGTTCTGACTATATAGGTCAAAGTGATTTCTGCTGTCCTCCTTGATATTGTGCAGTATGCTCAGCTGGTTAGGGGGAATGCAAGCCAGGAATACACAGTTCAATTCAAAATGGGAAAAAGTTTCATAAAAACTTTTTAATCATCTTTCCAATCCCATTTTATGGTCTAATACCACAAATTCTACAGAATCTAAATGAGATTTCATGTTGGAAACGTATTTAGGTGATATTTTTTGTTGGATCTCTTAGCAAATATTTTCAGTTTAATTGAAATTGTTATATACTATTTTGAAAAATTGTTTTACAAATATCACATATATACTCTCCCTTTTAAAGACAGGGGCAATGATAACTGGTTAGTTAGATATGAAAAAGAAGCTGATGGAATTGACCTATCGGATAAGGTAAGGAAAAACTATGTTTTCAAAAATTAATGTCAAGGCATAATTTTGAGCTTTTTTACAGGCTGAAGTAATTTGTTGTATGGTATTCCTTATCTAGGAATCTGATTCTGATATTGCAGTAATTCAGAACAAATGTATAGGTATGCCTCTAGGATTGAATTTAATTTGATTGTTTTGATTATAACAGTGGGGATTACCTTTATATTAATAAATAGGAAGGTTTTTCAGCACACGTTTTATAATAATAGTTGTCCACTTGTATAAAAACACAGTCCCTTGGGTCCATTATACTCTGTTCCTCTATTTTGGGTGCAGTTTTGCTTTTATATTTACATTAGGTCTTCTGGTTGTCTTGATGTGTCTATTTTGGTGACACATTTACAGGAAAGTGTAGGCAAACCTTAACTGCCTACGTTCTGGCTTGATTTTTGGGTACTTTCACATAATGTTTAGACTCTGTAAAGAGTAAAACCATAGTGTTGTCACTAATTAGGCACTGTAGTGGGTCACTAACACAACTCTATTTTAAAACTCTTAATGCATTTTTAAAATATTTTTGTGTGTGTAAATCATTACTAATTTGAAAATACTTCCCCCCAGGATATCCATTGGACTACTAGTAAAGAATCTATTATTAAAATTGCTGCAATTGACAATGGTTTAGCTTTTCCCTTTAAACATCCTGATGAGTGGAGAGCATGTGAGTATTATGTTCTTTAATCTGTTTTATTTTTAACTATTAAAAATAAAAGTAACTATTAAATTGGCATTCTTAGATTAGTTCTTGAAGACCGTTTCACTGTAGTCATTTTTTTTTTCTCCTCTTCAACAGCTTTAAGTTGTTAAAACTCCAAAGCTTTAAACTCAGTTTTTAAACTCAAAGTTAAGTTGTTAACCCCCGCCTCCCTTTTTCTTCCCCCTGCTTGGTGCTTGTGGTGCCTACTTCAATCTTGGAAGCTAAATAGCACTGGGCCTGGCAAAACTCACCTGGGAATCCCAGGTGCTGTAGGCAGCTGTCAACTTTTATTGATTATATTATGTTTCTGAATTATTGTTGTTCTCTCCCCCCACCCCGACCTCTTTTAACTTCCTCCCCCCATCCCCCTTCCTTATTTTTCTCTCCTTTAGTTACTTCTCCCTTTTGACACCCAAACATGGCTGGTGCTTGATGGCGGGAAGGTGGAGAAGGGAAATGGCTAACAACAAAAGAGCCCTGGAATTGGTAGGGTGGGGTGCCAAAAAGAGTAGAGGGGGCCATCAGGATTGGACCTTTTGGCTTCTAGCGCTGGCAGCATCTGACAGAGGCAGCTGCCTACCTACTTGGCTCAGAAAGTGGCACATATATTGCATTTCTGTGATGCAGAGGTTAAGGTAGTTTTTAGTAAAAAGCCTGAACAGACTAAATATAGATGCACCTTTAGTTTCACAGTACTGTAGTTGTGACTACCTCCAATACAGTGTTGAGAGCACCAAGCTAGAGTTACTGAAATGATACTCAATTTATCTGACCCTGCAAGCTGGATGAGAGGCATGGTGTGATTCCAGCATGGGGTTGGGGTCTGGGGCTGGTGTGCAGGTAGTTCAGCTGTGGGTTTGCCTGCCTGATACAGCTGTGGGCTGCTCAGGCCCAAACCAACTCAAGGCTCACAGAGCTGCTACTGCTCCCTTGCTGTCAAGTTTCTGAACTGTGGAGAGCACTGCAGGCTAGATGATAGGGCTCCATGGGCCAGATCTAGCCTGCCAGCTGTAGGCTGACCACCACTGCTTTATAGGGAACTAATTGTGTAACTGAAGATAGACCACTGGCTCAGCATGGTCCAGTTCACCCTGCTGAGAAGTAGGGTAAATAAGCTTCATGCAGTTGAGGCTAAACTGCCACTGTGACTGGAACTAGCTCATCTGTCATTAAGCTGCAGTAAATTCTGTGAGTGAAATGTAGAGGTACACTAAGGTTAAAGAGGATTACAATTTTTTGGTTCAGTATAACTGGTTACAAATCTCCTCATGTAAGCAGCTTTGGAACTCTCTGCTGGAGTTGGAAAAGATTAATGCAGTACTTGTCAAACTAAACATTCATCTTGGTATACTTCAAAATCTTTAGTTTTGGTGTTCAGAACTTCTGTCTTTTTAACCTAAAGCCCTACTATATCAAGAACATAACATTTTGCTTTTATAAAGGTGTTGACTTTACAGCTTAATACATTAAGAAAAGATTTGTTAGTATTATATCTTTTTTTTTTTTAAATTATTCAAGCTACTTGGGGTGGGGGGCAAAATCTGAATAAGTTGAAGAACAGGGCTATGTCCGTACATGCAGGCACATTTGGTTTGGGGTACCACAAACCGCACACATTGCACATTTAAACTTTGTGCAGTGTTGCTAATTTGCAGTGCTGGGGCAAAATTTGCTACTGGGATTTCCCAGTAGCAAAAAACACCCCCACAGGAAAAAAAGGTAGTATAGAGTGCAAGAAAATATCATTTACTGCAAGAAAGTTCTCCATGTGCTGCTCCCCAACTGGCTGGATTGTAGGGTGCCTCATTGCAGGGGCTGCCTGCCAGCTAGCCCTACATAGGCACCCTGTATCACCACCCTTGCTGGGCAGCACCCCCACCCAGCTCTAGTCCCTGCCTCTGCCCCACTCCCTCCCTCACCATGGGGGCTATAATTGGCTCCCCCACACCCCTTCCCCTCCACAGACTTACCTGCAAGGCACTGCTCCCCATACTGCCCAGCTGTGCTCCTGTAAATAAATTACCGGATCGGTATCAGCCGACATACCTGATGAATAATCGGCTATTGATATCGGCCAATAAAATTCTTGGTGCACCCCTACCTAGGAGTCAAATATCTGAAAAGCTTATTTTGTTGCAGATGCTATATCGCTCATGCACAAATTGCATACCTATGATTGATGGAGAAAAGTCTCTGCTTTGCCAGTCAGTGGCAGGGGTTGGCAACCTCTGGGCTGGCCATTTGATCCAGCCTTTGATACAGGGCTTTGACATCAGTTACTTTCCCATGTAGCCCTGGGGAAAAGTGCTAGCTGTAGGTGCTTTCTCTATGCCAAGGACAGGCAAATGTGGTGGTAGTGGCTGGGTCCTAGCACCTGGCTCCCTCTGACCTGAATTGAGTCAGTCAGGCCTGCAGCCAGTCACTGGTATATATTGCATTCCGTATTTTAATGATACTTTTCCACCCTTATTTCTTCAATTAAATATTTATTACTATAAATACGTTTTAATTTCTTTTGTACTTCATGAAAAGCTGAAGCCTTTGTGGCCATCGTTTTTAACTTGTAATTCTGGCCAAACAATGAATGTAACAATAGCAAACAAATTGGGAATAAGGTTCATGTGAATATAACTTCTGTCAGCTAGCAGTTAAGTTACCAAATGATTTAGAATTGTGATAGCTAATTGAAGGTTATTTTGATTAGAGAGTACTAGAACCTCTAATTTCTTCCTATTGATGATCAAGAAATTCAACAATTTTTTTTTTTTTCAATTAGATCCATTTCATTGGGCTTGGCTTTCTCAAGCAAAAGTTCCTTTCTCCCAAGAGACCAGAGATTTAATTCTCCCTCGCATTTCTGACATGAACTTTGTACAGGATCTTTGTGAAGATCTTTATGAATTATTTAAGGTGAGTCCTCTGACTAATAAAATAGCTACTCCAGTGATTTTTAACAGTTAACTTGAACATGGAAGGAAAACTTAAACAACTGTTTTTCCCTGTGATACTACTTTAGCTCCAGTGCTAGGATACAAATAGTAGAGGATATATAAATGTTTTTCACTGAATCATTGTGTAAGAAAAGTGAAATGGCTAGAAATGAGCTTTAATAGCCTTTTAATGCTATTAAATAGCCTTTTAATAGCCTTTATCAGCTAAAGTTAAGTAAGCATCAATATAAATTTATCACTTTAAGATGCCTGTGAATACTTACTTCGAATAAATTTCTGTAGCTTGGGAAAAGTGCTTCATTCAATGTAGCTTCAGGTATTTTAAATCTTATTTTATTTGTCTTCAAAGTGACATTTAAAATCTGGAATCTATTCAAGAATGGATTTACAGATACCTAACATGTCAAATTGTGTACTGCAGTATATATGTGTATGTAGGCCTCCTTTTACTCTGATTTATTAGCAATATTCCTCATACAATTAAAATCTTGATAAGGGCAACTTGCATTAGTATTAGAATTCATAAATTTGTATCTTACACGCTGAATATTCCTGAGGACCCAGGGCCAAGGGGAGAGGGGCCATTCAGTACAACACACAGCTTGCAATTATATACATGCATTTATTTGAAGAACAGTGGTCCTGAAACATGTTTGTTAATGTAATTTTGTATTTGTCTGACCCCAATATGTTCAAAATACCAGTATCATCTTTGGCATTTCTGTTGTAATACATTAGTGCTGAGAATTTAATGGGTGTGGAGCCTGGGGTGTTTCCTTGTCCTTTACAGGAAGTCCCTGTAGGTCAGACTTGAGTGGAAAGGTAGAAAGGTAGAAATTGCTTCTTTGTCTCTTGAAGGCTCAGATCAAGTTTAATAGGGCTGTGTGAACCTTCGGTTACTGACTTGATTTGGAGGAGATTTGGCTCAGTTTGGTGGCCGAATCTCCAAATCTGAATTGAATCAGGAGACCCGAATCAAAGCCTTCGATTCAGTTTGGAGAGATTCAACAATAGACAGATTTATGTTTTGTTTTGTTTTTCTATGTACCTCAAGGTACCAGGTGCGGCTTGTGAACACTGAGATGATGGGGCAGATGGAGCATCCAGTGGGAGCGTGGCGGGGGGGTCCCCCACACTCTTGGTGGCAGACCCAGAAGTTGCTCCATCTGCCCCAGCATCTCGTCGTTTACGAGCCTCACCTTGTACGCTGTGGTACATAGCAAAAACATTTAAATCTGTGTCTGTGGCTGAATCACTGATTCTCCGAATCAGAATCAAATCTTCAGATTCAGCCAAATCGATTTTTGGACAGTGATCTGAATCGGTGAATTGAATCACTGTCCCCCAAATTGGGCCAAATCCAAATCAAATACTGCTTGCTTTGCACACCCCTGGTATTTAGCTTGTAATCTTGCCCATTGCTATAATCCTGTAAAGCCTTAAAGTGATATTTTTTTACAGAAATTTTGTACTTTTATTAGAAATGTTATTAGCTATTAGAGGTAATCCTTAATATTATAATGGAAAAAATAGGGGAACTGTCATCTTTTACTTTGTGCACATATGCATTGCTTTGGTTAGCTACCTTTTGCTGTTTCCTGTCTATAGTTTTCTTTCTGTGGCTCTTCTACATAGAGAAATATTTGAAAACAGGGCTGCAAATCCACAGAGAAGACTTAAGACTTGGAATTGCTTTTATGTTGACAGTATCCTTTTAAGTGTCTAAGTACTGTCAGTCTGCCTTCCCAAGCAATAACGTTTGCTGTTTTGTAGTTGAAATATACTTTCTGATTTTAGTTGGTCTCAAACATATGCTTAAATTTTTATAGTGCAGTTATGTTTTTTGGGATAAAAACTATTGGTTACTTAGTTCCTAAGAAATGTAATTTTTAAAAATAGTCTGAAAATAACTCATCTTTTTATTATTTACTTTGAGTAAAGACGGATAAAGGATTTGACAAGGCTACTTTTGAAAACCAAATGTCTGTGATGCGGGGACAGGTAAGGCTAATTATTAGATTCCTTAACAAGGAGTGCTGTACATACAGGTGCATAGATAGCATCTCTGAAGTGCAGACAGATGGCAGGATGACTGAACATACACATTCATTTAGACACGGTTCCCACTATCTTATGAATGAGGCAGTAGGAAGCTTATATTGATATTGGTTTTGCCAATTTGCTGTTTGTAGATAAAGAATTATTTCTAGTGTTACCAGTTTACTGTGCTAGAACAAACCCCTTTAACGCACAAAATGGTTATAAAATCAAATGTACTGAAAATTCACAACACTGTTTACTAAAATACAATATGCAACTTGAAAAAATATATATGTTTTGAGGAAATTGGCATGCAGGTAAATCAACAATTGAGAAACTAAATTAGCCTGGTAGTTAAATTTAAGAGAGTTAGGACATTCAGGAGACTCCATCTATTCTTAAGTATGTGACTTTATCAGAAGACTATATTTTGAGGTCTAACACATACTAAGAGAAACCATCAGAGACACTTTATAAATAATTTTTATCAAATGTTTACTCCTTTGGATTTAAACATTACGTTTCACTTCAGTGTGGTGCTATACTGGAAGTACATTATAGTTCTGTTTTAAAACTGGATTTTGATCAGAGTGTTATCCATTTTTTTAGGATGCTCAGACAATTTATTAGAAGTTTCAGGAAACCTACACATGCCTGCTTCTGAGACTATTAAAATATGTATAGAAAATGGTTCTTATTATTTTGTTATGTTTCTTGCATACCACAGAAGTACAACACTGTCAATATACTGAACAAACTGACTTGTAATACACAAGCTGTTCTCATTTTGCATCAGTCACTTAATAAAATTACTTTCATTAAAAAAAACAAAAAAACAAAAAACATGGGGTGGAGGAGACTCCAAGTAATCTGTCCTATATATAACCACCAATGAGATACTTGTAAACTGGTCAGGTTTCTGCTAAAGTTGCTATTTTCAGTTGACACTGTCTGCATGCTAATTAACAAGACTTGGACACTGATTTTTTGTTTTATGGAAAATGGGTCTTGTAAAACCTGATTTGCATTTTTATATGTATGGTATACGTATGGGAACTATAGTTATTGATGCAACACTCAGTAAATTAAGAAGCAGCTAACTAAAAAAATCTCAGAAAGCTGTTCTCACTGGATAACAATCAATGTATGTACGTGTTTTCTAGTGGGGTCTCCACTGATCTATACTGGACCTGATGTTGTTTTTAAAAAATCCAGTAATGATCTGGAAGTAGGATAAAGTAGACAAAATTTGCTGGTGAAATGCAAACTGTAGTTTTAAACTATAAGCATTGGGTGGTCAGATAGAACAATCTGTCCAGAGATCATGTCATTTTGACCCATTCAAACCAAAGATGTTTGAGTGTAGCAAAATGCAGAATTCATAATCTAGGTACAAAGAATTCAGGATGTCCATTGAAGAATGGGTGACTGGATGTATAAATTGGAGTAACGGGTGGATCCAGGTGGCATTGTTAGGCCAGCTACTACCCCCGTTGGAAAGACTACTCCAAAATCTCATTCATTAGGGAGTTGGGAAGATTCTCCTGATTTTAAGATGGGGGGTGGGGTGGGAAATTATTCACAGCCAGTTTATCCCCACTTGTTTGTACGCCAATATTGTCCTTTAGCATCACCAGCTCTCCCCTCCACCAGTATTTGCCAGCCTAAACCAAGCTCTTTTGGGGTAAGTCTACACTGCTAGTTAAGCTGACCATCAGACTGCTCTTGAGCTCATGTACATGGACCATCTATACCAAAAATACTTAAGCTTTTTCTCCTGGCAGCAGTCTAGCTGCACCCCCATAAGGAAGCACTGCTAACCTTTCAGCCCTGGGAACTGGCCTCCTCTTATCCTGACCCTTTCTGTAGTGTGTTCAGAACTCAGACATTCACTGCAAGCTACACATTTAGAAAATCTACCTGAAGCCTACATCTTCTACTTCCTGACCCTCGTGCCAGCAATTGGATCCAAGTACAGGAGGGGCAAGTAGTGGCTAGAACAGTCCCTAGGAGTTCTTGATTTCTTGTTTTTCAGTCAGATGGTACCACCTCTAAGTTGAGAGATTTATTAAAAATCCTTCTTACCAGACCTGTAACTTCTGTATGCCAGGTCTTTCAGAATTCTGGTGCCCTCAGCTTGTGCACATCAAGCTCTTTGACTATTGCTTCCGTCTATCTCAGATATGCTATCAGCATAATCTGAGGCAATGGAAAGATGGTTAATCTGCACAATCTGCCTTTGGTAACTTTAGTTGCTGCATGCAGCGGGTCCTCCGTGGCTGCACTGCATGTGGTGGCCACTCTGGGACACGCCGCTGCATCTGACACGTGCTGGAGTAGGTGCCAGTGGGTGCCACGTGCAGCATGCAGGGCCCTCTGCATCCCATGTACTGCTTGTGGGTAGACTTCAAAACTAACAGGTAGTACCAGGGGCCAGATAATGGGGCTCTACCGTATCTTTTGAAAGTACACCAATATATTGGTTGCATACCTGATCGGCACCAGTTAAAAGGAAAATTAATGTGATCGGAAATTGTGGTGTGTGTTTTTTTTTTGTTTTTTTTTTTTTTTAGCCGGTGTAGCCGATTAATGTCACCGACTGCGTGCATTCATGAAGCTGTAGCATGCATACGGCTGGGAATGCAGTGTGGCAGCTTGGAGAGCAGTGTCCTGCTGGTAAATCTGTGTGGGGAAGGGGGCATGGGGGAGGGAAGGGGCATGGAGGGTCAGATCAAGGCCTTCCCCACCCACCTCAGTGAGGGAGGGAGTGGTGCAGGGGCAAGCGCTGCCCAGCCAGGGCAGTGCATGCAACTCTGGGGCCAAAAGCAGAACAGCCACGGGTGGCGTGGGAGGGGTGGTGCAGCTTGCTGCCACTGCACATTCAAAGGGGAGGCATGGGGGGCATATGCCCCTCAGGATTTGTGCATGGGGCAAGAGCAGGCTCAGAGCCAGGGGTGCTGGCCTCTTCCTGGCAGCGGGGGTGGGGGCTGGACTGGGGGGGGCTCCAAGTGGGTGGGGGTGAGATGGGCAGGATGGTGGCTATGGGGTAGGCTATAGCCACCTGAAAATTCCCCATAGCTGCCCCTCCCAGTGCCATTGCCACCTGCCCCACCCCTGCTGGCTCAGAGCCCAACCCCCCTGCCAGGAAGAAGCTGGCGCAGCACCTGGCCCCAAGCCTGCAGCAGGTAGCCCACCCTCACCCCACGCAAAAATCAGGGGGCACATGCCTCCCATGGCTCCCCTGTGTGCAGCTGTAGGGAGGTGCCCCCTGTTAAGCTGCCCATGGCTCCATCCCACTTCCAGCCTTGGCTGCATTCACCACGCTGGCTGGGCAGCACCTGCCCCTACCCCACTCCCTCCTTTACTGTGGGGGCCTTGATCTGCACCCGCTGCCCTCCTTCTTCCCCCCCCCCCCCCCGCCCCCCGCCCCGTGACGGCGCCCTCCAAGCTGCTCGGCTGCATTCCTGTAAATTGGCTATTGAATCAGTATTGGCTGTTATGGCTGGTTAATAATTGGCCATTGGTATCGCCCAAGAAAATTTTTAGCAGCGCACCCCTCAGAGCATCCTATTTTGATCTGAAGCTTCCCTGACTTCATTACAGTTTGGTCTACTACTTAAAATTACCCTCACTGCTAAAAACTTTGCCTAATTTGTCACTTGAAAGCATCTGTCTTCAGCTCCCAATAATTCATTCTTGTTGCACTTTTGGTTTTGGATAGATAAGAGCAGAGGTGTTCAACCCATGTCCAATGGGTCAGATCCAACCCCTGGTGCCAGATCATCCAGCCTGTGAGGTTCCCCATGGGTACATGGCATGGTCCTGTATGCTAGATTGGATATGTAGGGCAGCATGGGGCCCTGATCCCAGCATGTGGGGCTGGGTGGAGGCAGGTTGGGGCCCCAAATCCAGCATGCAGAGCCAGGCAGGAGTGGTGTGGGCTCCAGGACCGAGATCCTGGTGCAGAGATTCAGGCAGGGTGGCACGGGGCCCCAATCCCAGTGCATGAGGCCTGAATCCCACCCACAGACTGGTCCTGCAGCATTCATTTGGTTCATGAAGCCAAAATGTCAGATTTAGCTCTTTAAGGGTATGAATAATTGAGCAGCTTTGTTGCAGACTAAAACAAGTGTAGGCCTTTACTGTTCATCAGTTGGCTCTGTGGTCACTCTCCGTATGTGGGCTCTTACCTCACAGTACTCTAAAGCTAAGCCATGTGTATGAGGAGGTGATACATAGGAGCTGTCATGGTAAATTGTTCATATATCTTTCTCAAGTTTAGCACTCTTAAGTTGTTTTCTCTAGCCCTCACACGTTTTCAGGCTTTTTCCTGCTCCCTCTGCAAGTTTTCATTTTCTTTAAAAATAAAGTTATTACAGCCCCCCTCCCAAGAACTGGGTCATGTACTTCAGTATTAGTCTAATCAATGCTGCCCTGCTGCCACTTGTTACTCCAGTTTATACATCCAGTCACCTATTTTGGAATGTACATCCTGAATTCCTTGTTCCTAGATGATGAATTTTGCGTTTTTGTTCTGTTCAAACATCTTTGGTTTGGTCTGTTCAAGCATCATGGTTTGAATGGGCCAAAATGACATGATCCAGATTGCTCTGTCTGACTATCCAGTGTTTATAATTTACAACTACATCAGTTTGTGTATCACTATCAAATTTTGTCAACAACCACTTTATCCTACTTCCAGATCATTACTGGATTTTTTTAATAGCATCAGTGGAACAGATGCTAGCATCAGTGGAACAGATCAGTGAAAACCCCACTAGAAACGCACAGATTCATTGATTGCTGTCCAGTGAGAACTGCTTGAGATGTTTAAGTGGTTTTAATTTACTGATTATTGCATCAATAACTGTATAGTTCCAATGGATATATATTTTAAGATGTAGTTTGATTAGCGCATGAAAGGGGCTTATATTAGGTGATAGCTTTGGTATGGAGTTGATAGCCCAGAATGTACATCTTAAGGCCAACTTGCTAATTCGTACATGATTTTCTTTCCCAGTTAAATTTTAAAGTACTTCATGAAGGCACCAGTAGCCTGGCAGTTTGCAGAAATCATTGGCTTCAGCAACCTGAGAAGGCACAACAGTTACTATCTACAGAAAAGCATTTTGTCTTCACTTAGGCCAGGTGTCGTTCCGGGTTCCATGCAGCTTGAAAGCCAGATCTTTCTCAGTGTAAAGGTTTTTATAGATTCAACAAAATCATTGCCTGGATGCCCGAAACTTTTTTGTTTTTTCTATTTCAAAGGGTTTGTGAAAGGCCTGGGGAGTGTTAGCATAACTACCAACTTTTATTATTTTTTTTTTTTTTTAACGCTTTAATAATTTGGCCTGTAAGCTTTATCCTGTCACGGGAGACCTAGCATTTTAGCATTGCTAAAATCTGTCAGCTCTAGGCTAAGAAAATGGTTATGGCTGTTAGGCCTGTGCGAAGTGGTTAGAATTAGCTTCCGATTTGGATTCAGTTGATTCAGGGGACAGTGATTTGATTCAGTGATTTGAATCACTGTCTTGAATGGATTTGGCTGAATCTGATTTAGTTGATTCGACGCCAGCCGAATCTCTGAATCTCCTAATCAAACAGGCCCCATCTCCTACCTGGCCCCAGTGTCCCAGACCCACACTCACCAGCTCCTGCCAGGTGGAGCGAGGCAATCCCCACTGCCCCACGGTGCGTGGGAGGCTCTGCCACAAGCCCCCAGAAGCTCTGATGGCTGCTGCAGCAGCTGGTGAATGTGGGCTTTTTATTTAAAATAAATGAAGGAGCCAGGATGCTGCGGTGGGCAGGGCAGCTATTGATGGGGCTGGGAGAGTGGGTGGAGGATGCGGGGCTTGTGGAGGAGCCCCCCACCGGGCAGGAGCTGGTGAGTGTGGGGCCTTTTTTAATTACTTTTATTTGTTTATAAAGAGCCAGGACACTGGGGCTTGGTGAGGCAGCCATTGATGGGGCTTGGAGAGTGAGCAGGGGTCAGGGGGTGCTCAGGGAGGCTGGGGGAACAGGCAAGGTATGGGGCCTAGTGGGGGCCCCCCACAGTCCCCTTCCCCCTCCTGTCCCTTACTTACTGGCATGGAGTCTGGGTCCAGCTCCCTGCGGTGGCAAGTGGGGACTGCCCGAATCTCCGAGGCTCTCCGAATCGATTTGGACCTTTTTATTGGTCTTCTGATTTTACTTGGATTCAGAGATTTGGCTGCCAAACCAGTCTGAATCCCCTCCGAATCGAATCAGCTCCTGAAGCTTCGCACAGCCCTAATGGCTGTCCTATGGTTTTTTGAAGTGTAGTCTTCCATGAAGATGGGAGAGACCTGAAAGCATTCCTCTAGCCATAAGATACTGCAGTAGTTAAGAGAATACTTGCTTCAGAAGATCTTTTAAAGCAGGAATTAAGTATGCTTGTGTTCCAGAGACACAAGCAGGAGAATAACCAGCAGATCGGTAGTATCTGTACTTATTTAAACTGAGTAAAAGTAGTGAGCTGTTTTGGAAGAGACTATAGCAAAAATAGATCCACTTGAATGTGGATTCTTTATAAAAGAATTGATTTAAGTGCAGCACTTTTAATAGACCAAACAGTCACATTTTTATTGGGTGCCACTTAATCCTTTTTTCCCCACCTTCCTGCAGATTCTGAATCTTACTCAGGCATTAAAGGATGGAAAGAGTCCTCTTCAGCTAGTTCAGATGCCACGTGTGATTGTGGAGCAGCGAAGTGGTACTGGAAGCCAAGGCCGAATTGTTCATCTGAGTAATACTTTCACACAGACCTTCCATAGCAGGAAGCCTTTCTTTACCTCTTGGTAGCAACAGGAATATATGAGCAAAGTATGTGTCTTCAATTTAGTAAGTTCTGCGTAAAAGTTCTGAGATAATGTAATTCTACTGTATACTGAGAGCTCTGACTGCCAAAACCTCAATACTTAAATTTTGAAGACTTAAGAATTGTATTTTGAATGTAATCAAAGTTTACGATATTGTGTCAAAATTGTGAATCCTTACGTCAGGGAATGAGGAACTTGTCTATATTGTATTTTTATAGGCTGAATTGATGTATTCTGCATAATACTAAAGGGAAAAATTACAGTTTACATATGCTGAGAGACTACTTTTGCATACAACATAGAAATAGAGCTTTTTGTTAAATATAAATGTGAAAATGTACACTATAAACTTCATTTTTTATATATGCTGTTTAGAAATGAAGCACAGCTGATGTTATCTTTTGATTGTAAAAATTCTATTTCATGTTTCTACTTCCCGATGTCATAAGTTATTCCATCAGTTCTCATAGCCTAGTTAGTTGGAAAATGTTAAAATAAAATGGTCGTGCATTTAAAAAAAGTGCATTAGTTTCTATTCTTGAGACTTGAAAAAGATGCTCCAAAGGTTTTTAATTTGGGACCAAAAAGAGAGAGAGAGTGAGCGTAAAAAACATAGTTTATTCAGAATTTAGTTTCAGTGGGAATTGTGTACACATGCTGTAGGGTGAAAATTGGTCCTTATTCTTCATATTATTTGTACATTTAAATAATTTATTTAAAAATCTCATATTTCTCTCTAGATAGGATCAAAGTTCTTCTGTAATTCCATCACAGGAATAAAACAGTATATAGTTTATTTAAAGATGATTGCTTATGGTATGGATAGCCTTGTCATTCCTGATAGCTTGAACACTGAAGGGTTAATCTTTTAAGCCACTCCATGATGGATGTTAGTCAGATGGTGCCGTTATTTATTTTTAACCAGTGAAAACAGATCAACTGCAATAACTGGAACTCAGAAACCTGTCATTAGACTGCTAGCAACACTGTTCATCTGACACATTTTATTTACCTTTTATATTGAAGTTGCAGAGTTTAAGAATCTAGGATCCTTTTGCAAGTCAGTGACTTATGTAACGTTTTATTTCAGTTGTTCTTGAAGGTTAAGATGGGGAAAAAATCTTTGTCACTAAATTGCTGCTTTTATGAAACCTACAGTATTTTAGACACTGCTGTATTTTTTATAATTCTAAGCAATACTATTGAGATCTCCCAATATCAAGTGCTTGTATACTATTTTATATAATCTTGAGTTGATGTAAATATCAATGTAGTGTGTCAGAAATTCAGTTGACTTACTAAAATGTCTAAGCCTTAAATATAAAACTACTGTACTGTGGGATTTTAAAATAAGACTGAAACAGCCACCTTTATAAACATTTCCATGGTTTTGTTTTATCTAAAAAAAAAAAAAACCAAAACAGTTCTTAAATTATAAAGAATGTTTAAGGTAGGGGACAAGGCTACTTTAAACAATAAATTTGAAATGGACCGTTCTTAGCCTCATGCGTCTCTTTTTGAGAGGGTGGTGGAAGGGGCCTTAATTGCATCTTGAGTAAAGTGTGCTTCCAAGCTCTTTCCTACAGTAGAAAATGTACATGCATGTTGTACACTGAATTCTTTTTGTATTACACACAGTAAGGAGTACAACAAAAGTTTGCAGTGGCATTGGTACTACCCTAATATATTTAAACTTTTTGCCAAGCACTTGGAAGTAATGGATACTAGTTTTGTTTCATATACTTGCCATGCTGTGTTAAGCCAAAGTATTGTTAGTGCACATGGTGGCTGTTGCAGTGTAACATGTCCTTACTCTTGGGCATATGGCTGCATTGTTTACTGCTCAGTGGCCAGAAATGTACCAACTGTGGTCAGCCTGTACTGGGCTACGTTAGTTCCATCCCGGGCTGAGCGGTTCTGGCTATATAGCTGAGAACCACATTGTGCTGGCCGGGTTGAGTTGGAGCCAGAGTGGTAGGGTGGGGCAGGAAGTGGCGCCAGGTGAGAAACAGCAGTAGCAGCAATGGTAGGCAAGTGGGCAGGAGGGAAAGTAGGGAAGCAGCGGTGGGGGAGTGGCGGCAGCAGCAGGTAGGAGTGCAGGGCCCGGACTTCCTGAGGGCCAGTGGGGACCCAGAGTGGGAGTGCGGAGCCTGGGCATTGGGTCTGCCTGGCTCTGTTGCACGATGCTTACGTGCAGTCTGCCCAAGCCACACATCTCTGTGTAGAGCCCCACATGATGGAGCCAGCAGCCTAGCCCTGCTCGCTGCTACATGAAGTTCATGGGGACCAGCAGGGAGCACTGTGCTATGGAGCTGAGCCAGCTCTACCCCTTTCCCTGCCACCCTAGCTGAGCCTCGTGACCTGCACCACCAGCTTCATTGCGCGTGACTGAGTGGGGCTGGCTTCACATGCTGCCACTATCTGTGGCTGGGGACAGGGGAGCACCACTACCTGTGGTGGGAGCACAGGGAGCTACGTGCTATGGGGCCAGGCAGGGCTGGCCCCACTCACTGCCACCATATGCAGCTCCAGGGACTGGCATACCCTAGAGACTCTGAGGACCCACACACCCTACCTACCATACCCACACTCTGCCATACACCCCACCATATACCCTGTTACTCTCTACACCCAATATACAAGAGTAGGTTTGTATTTTGAGCTATTATGCAGTTGCCTCTAGGTACACTATGCAAACACACATAAATTGGGGCCAAAATATTTTTAAATAAAATTAGAATAAGTTTTAGTAGATGTTTTACTTTTTAGTATACAACTTGTTTTTGTTGTTGTTCTTTTCCAGTTTCAAGATGGCAGCACCCTCCTTCCCAAAAGGAGTACTTCCAGGGCAAGGATGGGGACTTTTGGTGGCAAAAATCAGGGGTTAGAGATGGATTTCCAGTCCCAAGATGGTGACCAGAGGGTGGGACTACTTCTGCAGCCATCAATAGCTCACCAGAACTCTTTAAGCTGCCCTCTAGCTGAAATAATTGCCCATCCCTGCAATATACAGACAGGCAAGAATTCTACAGTGTTTCACAATTTAAAACTTTCAGGATTAGTTTTCATTCTTTCTTGCAAAGATGAGGGCTAGGAAGTTGTACAGTAGTGCCCCAAATAGTAGAGGGCTACTGAGCTGCTCCAACTTGGACTTCTATTCCAAAGAGATAAGAAGTACTTTGATCAACTGCACAAGAACACTGAGCTCCAGCTGAGTGAAGCGGTACCCTTTGAAGTAAACTGCAGCAATCAGCTGATTAGCTTGTATTTAATTCATGGAAGATTGCCTAATTAAGCAGGACTGGCCTCATGGGGCTCCCAGGTTGGCCTCTGTGCGCACTGGATGCAGGGCAGAGCCCCCAGGTTTTGGGACCAACCACTGCAGGTAGTGCCGAGGCTGAGCTGTCCAGGAACCTACAGCACTGTGGCCCTGTGTGGTGCCTGCCCCGGTACCTTGAGGGGAGCTGTGGGTGGGCAAGGCAGGGGCCCAGGTAGGCTGGGGCAGCCACAGTGGCTGTTCCTGGGGTCCAAGGCGCTTCTGCAGTCAGGCCCTTGCACTGGAGCCAGCTGTGCCCCGCTCATGCTGTGCCTGGTGCATGGGGAGGCTAAGCTGAGAGCCAGAAGACCACCCCCACCAACATCAGCATTCTGCCCTGGCCAGGCAGTGTCCCTTTACGGGCAGGGCAGCTGCAGCCCATCCCCACAGAGCTGCATAGGCTGGGCCAGGCCCCAGGGCAAGTGCCCCCACCTGCCTGCCATGGCCTGAGCCCACAGAGCCCTGGGGCAGCCCCCACCTTCCTAAGGGCCAGGCTGGGCTGGGCTGCCCTGCCTGCTGTGCCTCCCCCTGCGCTGCCCAGCCTCAGCACTCAGTGCCCCGGTGCTGTCCCCGACCCTGTGAGACCGGGCATCTGTCTGCCTGGCCCCAGGGCTCGCCCACCCGGTGGGAGCCTGCCCAGACTCTGGCCCCAGCCCCCTGCAGCTCCTTCCAGGGGCCAGGTGAGGCCGGAGGATGCAGCCCAGGGATAGGGTCAGCAGAACACAAACAGCCTCCCTGCCTGCATTCTCCTGACTCCACCCTGGTGCCTGCCACAGCTCTGGCACCTGTGGCTGCTCAGGAGAGCCAGGAGCAGCAACTTACAAAAAAAAGTTTTTAAAACAATTTCCTCACATGCCACAGGTAAAATATCTCCGTGTGCCACTAACTGGCCTGCGTGCTATGGATTGCTGGCCTGTCCTAAACCATCCTTGTCCAATGCTTATCCATCCTCCACTGCCTATAAGTTCATCACGGGGGCACAGAAGGGAATTGGTGAGGTTTTATTCACCAAGGCGCCCCCGGGGGTTACAAGAAATAATGGCCACAAGCTAGCAGAGAGCAGATTTAGATTGGACATTAGGAAGAACTTCTTCACAGTTCGAGTGGCCAAGGTCTGGAACGGGCTCCCAAGGGAGGTGGTGCTCTCCCCTACCCTGGGGGTCTTCAAGAGGAGGTTAGATAAGCATCTAGCTGGGGTCTTCTAGACCCAGCCCTCTTTCCTGCCTATGTAGGGGGTCAGACTCGATGATCTATTGAGGTCCCTTCTGACCCTAACATCTATGAATCTATGAATCCTTCTCCTGAAGACCCAGGGAAGGAGATTCCACAACTTCCCTGAGCAGTCTGTTCCACTGCCTCACAGTTCTAACAGGAGAAAGTTTGTCCTAACATCTCATCTAAACTGACCCCCCCCCCCCCTGTGCAGAGGGGCTTTGTTGGAAAGCGATGCAGGGCAGTGTGGTGATGCCCACCATATGCAGGCCACACATATGCTGCCCGTCCGCCTGCCTAGGGGAGGGGGAGAAGGAGGCTGGCATGTGGCTGAAGCACAGATCCGTGGCTGGATCTGCAGTCACCGCGATTGTCGGTGGTGGGGTGCAGGGGTGGGGAGGTTTGGCCTCGCATGTCGCGGCCGCTTACTTGGAAGGCTGTGACGGCTGTTGTCTACAAAACATGCTGCTGCTGCCACAGCGCTCTGCCTGGAGCTGTGCAGCCAGCTGGTGGGTGGCAGCGACAGTGTGGTGGTGGCCAGGCAACCCACAGCCATCCCCACAACCACCCCACGCTGCGTCACTGCTGCCGGCTGCACAGCTCCGAGCTTGGTTCTGTGGAAGCAGTGGGAGGTTTTGTAGACAGCGGCAGTCACCGCTGGCACAGGTGGCCCCACAGGTAAATAGCAGCAGCTGGCTGCATGTCTCCAGGCAGAGCTCCATGGCGGCAGCAGGAGGTTTTGAAGGCTCTGCTCCCAACCATCTTCCCCAGCCCTGCCCCACAGCCCCACTTACCTCCATGCTCCAGGGGTGAAGAGCAAGTCTGAGCCTGAGCCCAGCCTTGGCTGCCTCAGAGGCTCAGACCCTGCCCTCCCCCCTCTGGCCAGGGCTGGGGGTTTCTCGCTCTTTTTACAATCGGCTCTTGCAGGCTGGAGCTGTGCCAGACTTCAAGAGCTCTTTGCAAAAGCGGAGAATCTGCGGATTTCTCTGCTAAAAAGAGAAATCCGCGTTTTCTCCGATTAAAAATAGGGAATCCGTGGTTTTTTCTATTTTTCCATCGGAAACGGAAAACCCAGATCCCTGGTGATGACGCAGCCTTGCTTAACTCCCGCCTTAACCTCAAAGGGATCTGTGATAGTTCTGTTACTAAGAACCACCACTCACATACATCATGGAGTAGGTGGAGAATGATGATAAATTTCAGTGGGCATCCATACTTCAGAAGGATCTTCCACGGTGCTTCACAGTTTAGTGTTGAACACTTTCATGGGGTCAAAGAAGGCCATGTAGAGAGGTATGTTCCTGGCATTTTTCCTGCAGCTGGCAAGCTGTGAAGATCATTTCAGTTATGCTTCTTGATGCCCTAAACCCACAGTGAGATCCTGGTGAGAGCTCTTCAGTAAGTGGAAGGAGATGGTTCAGGAGGGTTCTTGAAATTATGGCTCTAAGATCCCTTTTGCCAGTTCTCTCAGAACTGTCATGAATTTTCTCAGGCCCTGCTGGCTTAATTTAAGAAAGCATCAGAAAGCTTTCAATTGATCTGAACAGTTACCATGACTCTCAAGTTTTCTCCTGGTTTGTTTTCTTTTTATTTAAAATGTTGCTAATTATTTTCCTGCTTCATTCCTCTCCTTAGAGCATAGTTTCTCAACCTGTGGTAGGTGTACCCTTGGGGGTACACGAGACACAGGCAGGGGGTACATGGTACCCTAACACTCTCTCTCTCTCATGCCCTCTGTTCCTCTCTCTCTCTCCGCTTCTGCCTCTCAAAACTATGCCAAAAAATTTGGTGCACCGCACATTGCACGGCGCTTTAAATTCCCCAGTAATAATTTGGCATACCACTCTGCATGGCACTGGGTTCAGTCCTCCTAGCTTTGGCCAACATCACCTCTAGCCCAGGTACATACTTGAGTTGTGCACCCCTGGTGTAAAAGGTGGCAACCCTACCCACACCATATCAGACATCTGTTGTATAACGGCCTTATGCACACAGCCCTTCTTCCAACATATGGCACACATTAATCTGTAAATATAAAATCTTCTAGAAAATTGAGTGTTGGGGTAGTTAGTAAAATTTTCAGAAGTTAGGGGGTACTTGCTACTTAAAAGGTTGAGAAACACTGCCTTAGAGCACCCTTAGTCAGAGATGTGAAATGGCCTCTCTTCACTGAACCTCCTCAAAATGCTCCTTTTAGGCAGCTGCTTAACTTCATCCATAAATGCTCCACACTCCAGTAGAATATTAGTTTGCTCTTAGGCAGCAATCCTGGTTTTCTCTGATTTAAAAAAACCTGTTTTCGGTTTTAACAACCCCCCCCCCCCCCCACCCCATCCCCCCCACCCCCCCCCCCCCCCCATCCACATTGTTCTATGATTAAAATGAAACGCTACTATATCTATATATTAGTGGTGTTTCATTTTAAATCAGGGAAAAATGTGGATTTTGGGTTACTTTTTTTAAACCAAGAATTGGGTTTGTTTGTTCTTTTTATCAAAGAAAACCAGCATCCCTACTCTTAGGTAATACTATTCAAACTGTACAAAATCTTTTACAGATCTGATCCCTGTTTTTTCAGCTGGAGAAAGCAGTCCTTATTTCTCACATGCCAGTCTGAATCTAAGCATAAGACCAACAGTGCAATGTCTTGCATGTTTGTATAATCATGTACACCAGTACTGACAATTCATTTTGATACCCTAAACTGAGCAGCATCTTCTCTTCAAAGGTTTTTCAGGCAGCCCAGAGCTATCAGCAGGATTCAATTATGGTGAGTCTGATCGAGAAAAGTAATTACTAAATAATGTAATAATTAGCCTAGGTGTTTTTAAAAATGATAAGCCCCAGTAATGAGAAAAGAGTTCAGTACAAAATTTGGATCTTGCCTTTTGTAAGATCATTACATAAACTGTAAAAAAAACAGTCAGATTGTGAGTCTCCCCCACTCAAGAGGAGCATTGAAATAGAAATTGATGGTCTGCCCCAGTGAGTAGCCAGGAGCAAATGAGTGTTTCTTCCTTAGCCTGACAAAGGGTATCTGTACCTGAAAGCTTGCAAAGAAGATTTTTTCCAATTGTCTGAGTTGGTCTGATAAGAGATCTCAGATTTACTCAAAGAACTTTGTCTGCTGATATCCTTAGACCAATGCAGCTACAACCTACACCCCCTTCTCCTATGTGAAGACTTCAGCAATGTAAGTAAGGTAGTGAAGTCTGACATTCTGACATGGGCAACTGGTGCCTCCTGAGGAGGAGACGGGGGGTCAAATGCCCCCCTGACTGGACAGTCAGCAACTGTCCTGAGGAGGGGGGGTCCCCCACGGCCGATCCTGCCGACCTGCAACTGGCAGCAGCTGGCGCACTCCCCCCACAGCCGGTGCTCTCAGGGGGGATATCAGCGCTCTCACCTACCCCCCTGCCCGGGAACGCTGGCTGACAGGGAGGGGGTGCACCAGCGCTCTCAGGGGGTGCACATGCACCCCCATGAACTGCCTACATATTGCCAGTGCCTTCGGGAACGGATAGCTCGACTCTAGGCAAGGCTCTATACAGGCAACCCCCACTTAATGGTTTTGCTTAGCGCTATTTTGCTATAACGCTCCTTTTTTATTGATACCCGATTTCACTTAGCACTCGGAGAGTTTCGTTATAATGCTCACGTTCGTCACATTGGGTCATTTAAAACAATCGTGGCCGCCACTTCGGGTCGTCAGATACTTTTGGTTTCACTTAACGCTCGTTTCGCTTAATGCTCGTTTTTTCGGGAACCAAGTAAGAGCGCGAAGCGGGGGTCGCCCGTACTTCAGACGCACGTTAGGAACATGGCGTCTCTCTTCCCCTCCGCTTGGGCTCTGCTCGCACGCGGCCAAAGGCGGGGTGATTTCAGTGGGCTCGGAGCAAGGACCCATTTTCTATATCCTTTTTTCTTCGCAGTTTGACGGTGTGCACTGGTGTAGGCGCACCGGCGGGGAGGACCTCCTTCCTCAAGTTGTGCTGCAGGTGCGCGCAATACCTTTTGGGGCTGGGGCTGAAGTCTTATGGAGACCAAAGGACTGCAAGCTTAAGTGGGGATATACTTTTCACTCCCATGTCTCTAGCAATAAAGAGTCAGTTGGGCAACGTGCGCTCGTTTCCTCTCTCACACAATATCGTGTTACCTGGTGAGAAAGGCGGGGCCGGGCCAGGAGCCCGGGGCGGGGCGGAGGC